ATAATAGCAAGTCCTTGGATTACTATATATTGGTGTTAATTTTAAAACGCCCTTAAGGAGCCAAAATATACTCGAGACTCAAAATCGCGATCACATGTTATTTTCAAATAAAGCAATTCTGAAATACAACTCTAATAAACAAATAATATGTTTAAAAATAATACTTTGATTTTAAAAAATTGAAATTAAAAAGCTAATAAGCGCGACGGTTTTGATCTCGAGTTCTCGAGTGACGTCTCACTCAAATCTACTACCTACTTCCTGTAACAACTACCTTCTCTTCTAGTTCCTCTTGGTATCGCATATTCAAGACATTTTTAAAAAAATTTTTTTCGAATATCTCGATTCACGCTTTAACTACAGCACCAGCTTCATGGTGATTCACATGAACTCCATCATATTGCCATACGGTTTACAAATATAGCTTCATTTAATGTTAATTTTCTGGCTTTATTATTACTCATAATCGGGTAAGTAATTTTCAAGACAGAATGCAACTTCTATTGATGGCTTAAACCGCGCTGCTGTTATTGCGCTTGTGTCACCTCAGTATCTCAAAGCACATGAACTTCCCTTATTGAGACATTGTTCTAATTAAGTCATGAATTATTGAAACTATTCAATTTTGGGTTACTGCGGCGAGTTAAGAAACACTGAGTAAATCATCTCTGTCATTGCTTTTGAATAACTAACTTTTAACGTAATGTAGCCATTCTCAGTTCATTTTCAATAATAAATGTCAAATTGCACTTCTTTTTATGTATTAACGTTCTCTCAATAAACAGCGTACCGGTTATAATTGACCATGTGATGTGTAGTAATTGTCATACGCAGACAAAAAAATCAAATAAAAATACAAACAAAACAAACTGAATAATAATTTTACTAAGGACACTCACAATATAATACATAAATTATACCCGTTTCGTTTCACCACAACTTAAACAAATATACATATTCAATACCACTTTCCATGTTCAAAATATAGCCTCTTTCCAAATCGGAAGTATAACTTACAAAAATAAAGGCAGAGATTCAGAGACCAGTCTAAGCGCGAATTAAGTTTCCCACCTGTCAAAATTTTGTTATTTTTTTTAATTTGATAAGAGTAAACGTGTTCATCCCCACTTACGCTTGTCTCTGATTCTTTCAATGTCGGAACTAATAGTACATAATAGTAGAACGCAATTAAATTAAGCCTATTTTAAGTTAACTTTCATGTTTGATTGATTTGCCTTCGCTTCTTAGGCCGATGGTTGCCCTGTAAGGCTGCCCTTTTTATAGGCACTTAAATCTGGAAAAATAGTCTTAAAATTCACAAATGTGCACGAAATAGATATAAAGGATGAAAGATCGTGTCTCATGAATAAACATACATAATTAATTTTGTTAGGGATACAAGATTCTACATCTTTTCCAATCATCGTGGTACAAACTAATACACAAATAATACTCGCTAAATCTATGTCTAAAGTATTTTCCTATGTGAGACTCGTGTCTTGCAAATAAAATAACTTAAAATTACGAATTCACTAAAATAATCACTTTTGTTTTTGCATTTTGAACGCTTTCATTTGATAGTCCGTTTTATTTGTTTATGTAACGTTAAATTAGTGTTAAACCATCCCTAAACCTTAAAAAACGTAAGATAAAATTGATAATTAAAACTAGATATAAATTTCTTAATATTATATCGATACCAAGCAAATGCTCTAAGAATCCATACATATCAAGCATGCAAATAACATACACTCGCAATTTAACCCTTGACATAATTAAGGTGACACTTTCTGACACATGGACTTTCTTCATCCCACTAAAAACTCCTACAAAATGCACCTTACATCGTTAATTAACTTCAAACTGGTACAAACTACCTCTATGGGCTTTTAATAGGAAACAGTCTTTGGTGTTTATCTGTGGTATTACTTAATAAGTGTCAATCTTGAGCACAAAAAAATCTTATCTAGCAACCCCTTACTTGGACTATCTAATTGGCATATTTAGAAAGCACTTACCTTTCTACTACCTAAAGGAAAGATCCTTGACCAGTCTAACCACGGATTGACTCGAAGGCCTCAATGGCTAAGGTTGAGATGTTGTATAGATATATTAGTATTGACGCCTTTGTACTGATTGCAGCTGTATATTAAGTAAACATTTTATATATAGTTTCGTTTTGTAGCTTTCCATTTTTGAATTATTACCGTTTCTTACAATCATATAAAGTCATTCCTGCTTTTCTTAGTTCGTATAATATTGGATAACCTAAAAAACACAGTGTAAAGTCATTCGATTTATAGTGAAACTTACTTTAATCCAAACTCCATAGAGATAATAATGACGACCATAAAAAGAAATATGGTAAAAATACGCTATCTCCTAAGGCTTTCTGAATTGATTAAAGTAACGAAGAAGGAGTTTGAATTTCGATTACATTTTCACTTTAGTAAACGAAGGTAAAACATTTTAGGACGTCCTTTCACAATCAAATAGCCCTTTCAACTCTAATATTTCCCTATATATTTATTGCTCTCAAAATACATACTTATGTACGAATAGATATAACCTCTAAAAATCGCAACAATATAACATGAACTTTAGAATAAAATAGATTTTACACTTATTCTATTATGAACCGGCGATCAATCTAGATCAAAGGTATATTAAGTCTGGAAAAATCTCACTTATTTTATGATTAGAAACTTGTAATCACTACAATATAACAAGTTATACGGGTACTAAGTTCAAAATTATAATTATTATAACATTACATGACAGCACACTGTTTACATTATTTTAGTTTATTGTATAGAAAATCGTGTCTACCTTCATAAACGTACTATACACGTCAATACTTGGGAAACACATGGTAACCATGGAAACAGTTACGTATTTTGCTAAATGACACAAGGATTAAACAGTTTTAGTACTATAGTACGTCTATGAGAATGGGTGTTAAAATCTTTTTGTTTTCTGTGCCATATTTGTGTAAATATAAACATTCTTAATTTGATAATTGTATACGTAATACGTACACTTCAAACTATGCAACGTATTCATACGCAAATAAAAATAATATAAAACCCAATTAATTAAAAGTCCAGTTATAAACGCACTGCACTTGTTTCAATATTAATCGAATCAGAGATCGCAAGATCATCTTCACACAAAGCAAGAACTTAGCAGATACTTAAAATTACAGTGGTCTAATACGTTCACTACGATAGTGCTTGTTACCATGGCAACTATTTCTTACATGGAATAAACATCACGCGGTAACAAAGTACTATCTTTAGCCCACGTTTAGTATTTATAAGGAACAGTGTCAATTTTGTAGTTCATTTAAGTAACTATCACTCACGCTGTTTAAATATATTAACTAATTGCGAGTCATAGCTTTTTCTATGAAAAATACCAGCTGCCAAATGCATTACATATAGAAAAATCGACGACTCACCAATTGGAACTCATATTTAGATATAGAAAAATTAATTTGTATTTCGACATGTAATTATTACATCCACAGACAGTTCACATTTTCTCCTTCACTTATCAATCAACCGATACAGATAAACATTAGGTCAATCTAAAAATATTATCTACACCTAATATAATAATATTATCTACATCTCTAGCATTGTCTATGTCTACGGGAATCTAAGGCCATTTGAAATATATTTAGAATATGTTTATGGAGTATATGGGAAGACTGAATTAGGGAGCGTTCAAGTATTACGTAACGCAATTTTTGGAGCTTCTTGAATCCTCCCCCCCCCCATGAACTCTCCGTTTTTCAGTACCCAAGTACAGTACTGTATCCAAGTCTAGTAAACCGTTTCGTGACCACCTAGTGATTCTTTAGTTATTATTTTGTAGTGTAAGTAGAAAATAATATTAACAATAACGCGTAATTCAATCCCCGCCCCGCGTCGTAACGTTTTACAAAAGGACAAAAAACCCCCCCCCCAATACGTAATACTTGAACGCTCCCTTAATCAAGTCTAATTTCTTATTCTATATTTGAAATGTTACTCTTTTATTTAGTGTATGAAATTATATCAGTTGAATATTGTTAAAAATTTGCTACTGAATTAGATATTATAAATGAAAATAGAATTAATTTAGAAAAGATTATACAAGTTATGATATTTAAACAAGTATTAAAATTTACATCGGAGTATACATGTAAAGGATATATATTTAATAATATAATTAATAAATCCTTGTCTTGAATCCTATAAAAGTATATTTAAAATATGTGACGATAGAGATATATAGAGATTTGATTAGTAAATGTTTAAACTATTGATATATTAAATATTTGAACCATAATAATCTTATAATAACTAACTTCTTAACTCTAATTCAATTACATCTCACATTTCGTTATGCGTCAAAATGGCGACAATTAATATCATGTTTTCCTTGTAAAAAATACTTTCTTTGTATACTTTGAAGTCAAAAACCAGTGACAAAATATTTGATAAGTGAAAAATTGTATTGAAATAGCAAATACAACTTTTAGTAGACTTTTCAATTCATTGTTCGAGCCATGTACAAATGTTTTTTCAATTGTTTTCGACTCTCTTTATATTGCGTGCATACATAATTTTTTGACCTAGAAAAACGTTCCCTTGATATAGGTCTTTGACAGATCAAAAAAAGAAATTTGGTCGTAGGCCCCTTTTCCAGAACATCTTTTAAATCTAGTTTCAAGAACTATGATTTTTTGTTTCCGCTCGAAGTTTGACTAACCTTAAATTGAGATTATGACTTGAGTTATCTCTTGGAGTAAAGCAAGAAATTTATAAAGTGTTCAACTCAGACTTAATATCATCTTGAATCATTCGATATCTTTGTTTTTCCAGATCAAACAAATTAGTTCAACTATTCGTATTATTGATTCTTATCATAACTGGAAGCTAAATACGCTTATAAATTCCGCCTGACTCAAATAATTTTGAAGACAAAAATTTTAAGACTTCGAATTCTCAAACTTATGCCATAAGTTTTCCATTGGCTTTAACAACGCCATTGATATTCACTTGCGTGTGACGCTTACGTCGTTTTCTCGCATGTTGGTACACTGGTAAGACGAGAAGAACTAATCCCGAGATGCCGATGAACACACCCGCTAGATAGAAAGAGAGATCGTAGGAGCCTCTCATATCGAACACCCAGCCTGGAAATTGAAAAATCATTTTGTACGGTTTTGCATATGTTGGTTAGTACAAACATGTAGTTATGAATGGAACGCTATTGCGCTATTCAGTGTATTCACTGAACGCAAAAGGAATTAGATTTACGTGTCAATGGCACAAAAGCTTTCAAACACCAGTTACGTATTTTTAAAAGTGTCTTTGTTTAAGGAATATACGTCTATGTGTGCATTTTAACACTGGCTCGTACGGTTAAAGAAAATATCGTGAGTAAACCATGCCTTGGACTTAATAGCCGACGGCGTATGTCAGGCACAAAAAGCTGATCAACTTTTTACCTATTAGAAAAAACAAATGTTCACGTAACAGATACAGAAATCAAAGGCCCAAAACCTAAAACGTTGTAGCGCCACTGGTTTTTTTAACAGTACATGGCCGCGTATGCTAAAACAATTATACAAGTAGTTTGCGGTTACTATGAACCTATGTCGCCATTCAGATTTGTATGGAAATGGTCACGTGACGCTGTCTGTTGTGAAGTCTCTGCTAGCCATAATATTAGCCAACAGTAAGTGCTTCTACAAACGTCACACCCACAGAATGGGTATGCAATAAAAGGCAATGCAGACACCGCAAGCGTAATATTTACGCGAGACTGGTTCTAATAGGAAAGTCTACGATATCCGTTTCAACTAACAGAGATGACGCGTCTACGAGATGGACGTAGCGTAGTTTCTGGTAAACTTTACTAAATGGCGGTAATTTAAACATTTCTTACAGTCTATTTGCCACCATTTTAGGCATTATATAGTCTGTTTTCTTGTATTTTAATTTCGAAATTTAAAATATCACACTGCTATTAAAAACGTTGACGTGTAGTTAGTAACTACACAAGTTGAAAACAAAACATAGAAAATTATTATAAAAGGTTTTTTTATTAATGTTGCAGAATGACATACATGACATAGGTACATAACCTAGACACATAATATAACAAATGCCCTATGTACAAAATTAGTAATCAAACAATATTTACCAGCAAACGATGGGCCTACAAGATTTGCGACACCCTGTATTAACAGCAACAATCCATAGGCATTAGTAAATTTCTCAAGCGTAATTTGCTCTACCAGTATAATACTGGTTAACGAATAGTTGGCTGCTATAAACGCTCCGAACGCTCCGGACGCCGCTGCCATTGATAAGTATGAGGTCAGTAGCGGCATTATGAGGGTCACAGCTCCACATAGGACCATACATCCAGCGTATACTATGCTTGGATTCACGCACTCCCAGTCGCCAACCCAGCCAAGCAAGATCTGAAATTGCATAAAATTTATGTTAATTTACTTCCAAAAAGTTTGGAGCTATTTTGTTATGTATGTTCGTGCTAGCGCGTCATATTGAGCCTTTCAAGTTAATGAAATGTATATTCTTTCCCTTCTTAAGTCCCATTGTTTTGTTACGGGACACAGTGTGCGATGCGTACTACTTGAGGATACTTCATACGAATGTACTATGTCCAGCTTCCATATATTTTACAAAATGCAAACTGGTGACGTTGAGAAGCGCAATGAGCTATTTGACAAGCTCTTAAAAATCATTTCACTTTATTTATTAGTGACTATAGCCGTAACCTTTTATTTTGCATTTGCACGGCATTTCCGCTCAGAGTGTGGGACTCGCTCTAAAAACTACCCACTGAACCCCTCCCACCAATCACGTCAGTGTTGGGGTAACTTGAGGTCGCGTAAACATTCTACCAAGTGACTATAGACATACCTACACAAATTGTTATTTATAATAATAATTTAAAATAATTCCATGAAACCCCCAAAACTCTACTCTTGGCGAAATGGCATCGCAACTACGTCCACGGCTGTATGCATAAACTAATGTCAACCTTTTCAAGAGTTAATCTTTTTTTAAACCACACAAATACACATTTATTATACTTTGATCAAAAACTGCCTCTGGCGAGATTAAACTCCAAGATAGTATTAGGATTAGACATGTACTAATCTGTGACCTAATGGATTAATTTGAATGATTATTTACGAGTTATTTTTCTACATAACCCCTGTAAACTCACGTTTTATACAGATCACTCTTACTTTATTTTTCATACTGTCAAAAAGCCTATTGTACGGGCTCAGGCCTAAATTATTTTTTTATTCCACCTACGGAAACAAAACAATTTCTTTATCATTTGAATACACATTTTAATTATATAAAATAAACGTACTTGTTTCGAAAGCACTTTTCTTTGTTCGCAAAACTAACTGTTTATTCAAAAACGCTGAAAAGGACTTTAAACATCGCATACAAAGCGGTGGAGTAATTTTCGCTGAAAATTAAAAGGTAAAAACCGTCTATTCGTACTTCGCTAATGAGTGTATTAATATTTATACAGACCGAGAGCGCTCTAAGGAATACGCGTATTTATAATGTTTTAGTTAAAATAAAATGTTACATCGAGCTGGGAGATTGGCATTGCGTTTGCATAGTTAAAAAAAATCTAAGCTAGACTTTTATTTGTAGTCTTGAAATTAAAATTATAGTTTTAACCACATTTAAAAAGCTCCTCTTGAATAGGATATATACAATTCAAATTTAATAGCTAAACAAATTATAACCTATTAAATAAATGTTGATTTTTAACAGATGTTATTTTGAATTTGAAGTAAAACTTATTAAGTAAATTAACCCAGAAATAATTTGTAATAATGTCTTTAATTTTCTAAACGAAGATTTCAATGTTCATACTGACATATGAATCATTTAAACGCAGCATGCTGTTATATAACAATCATTATCGCTCATTTATCTCCATACAAAATAGGTCAAGATAACTATGAAGTGAATAAATTATTTTTATTTCTAATACACGCTTATCGCTTGTATTTATAACGTTATATATGATTCACGTTGTAACGCACGAAAAGTGCGTAAAATTAATGGTATTTAAGAGAATAATTACAACACACTGTATGGAAATTATAGCTACATTCATGGTTCGTATAAGTTCGTGTAACACAAATTGTATGCAAAAGCATTCGAGTAAGCAGACGTATACGAATTGATCTTTTAAGGCCTCTTAGATATCGCATTCGATTCTCAGTCATAGCGTATATTGTAATTATACGCTATGACTGAGAATCGTAATGTTTAATTGGTTCACCGTCTTTGGAACCTGACCGAGTAGTCAATCCATATGGCAGTGACAGTAAAACTAACATCAATTGTGCGTGCTAACGTAGAAAAGACAGTGTTAAGCGGGCCATAGACGGACCGCATGTTGCAGCCGATACCGACTCCTCTAAGCGGTCGCCGCACGGCGATTTGCAGTTTCCATACTGAATTCATATCCGCAATACACGGACCGCTCGAGCAGTTCATGAGCAAACCGCATGTTGCAGTCGGTCTTGACTGACAACTTGACTTGACAATATGCGGTCCGTCTATGGCTCGCTTAAGACGCTGAAACGCGCTAATCGCTTTAATAACTTTGTATATTAATATAGCTGCCATGAATCCTCATGCGTAGATACAACTAACAACTAAAGATAGTGCCCTGGCGCAGATCAAACAGCGCATCTCAATTGTGTCTGTGACTAGCTGCGCAACGCGAATCCACCCCTGTTCATTTCATGTTTACAAACTGTTCTCATAAAATTCGATTGAACCGTTTTAAAGGAATGCTGCAACAAACACAGACTACGAAACTTTTGTATTGATTACGTTGTTTCGCACTAAACCATGGAACTAGTTCTTTTCAAGTTTTAAAAAAGTCTGAAGCTTAAACAAAATGGTTACTTTACTGGAGAGGAGAGTTTAGTGCCAGTTCTTCTCATCCGTTTTACGCCCTTGATTTGAGAACTGGCAATAAATGTAAATAAATAAGTATTTTGTTTACTGACGTTTATAAGTAGGTACATAAGAGTTACCTACAAGAATAAATTATATTTAGATTTTTTAAGTCAAGCCAATAATAAATAAAGGATTTGGGATATTTGATCTCTCGAGACCAGACCGCCTGTAAAAAATAGTTGAATAATATTGGTAGAATGTTAGTCCATATGCCGCGGCCATCTGGATTGTTTAATTCTTTTCCAAAGCTAGTTACTAATTACGGTAGTTAACAAACTCACGAAATATAAGCATTTCCATGGTCAAATTTTATACTAGCACAGCATATCCGTGTTTGTTATACTTATCATTTATATCGAAAATAATATTATTGATGTTGCTGTGCGGAAAAGAGTACACATATAATACAAAGGAATGTAGTGTATAAATTTAACATTATAGTTCCATTTAATGTCAATCATTAGTACACGGTTCCAGTTCCATAGAATTGTATCTCTACAATTTTTTTAAAAACCTACGTTAGTATATTGGCTCAAAATAGATGTCTTGTATGCCGTTTTGAACGGGACTGTCCCTTTTTCCAATTACGAGTCTAGGTGTCCCCAAAATAAACTGTGGGACGCAAAATTGTCCCGCTTTCAGAAAGCGCGCGAAAATTTAAGCAGCAGAATTTAAAAAAAAACGTGCCAAGAGTTTCATTCTTATTTGAAATCGTCACCAGCCATATTAAAACAAATTTGTTCTTCTGGTAAATATAACTAAAACTTTTTGGGTACCTATATTTTGTGATTCGTAACTTTTTCTAAATAAATAACTTTAAAAAAAAAATTACCACTTATTATTTGACCTAAATGAAACCATGTCCCGTTTTGAGTCAAATAATAACCATTTTTAGTGACCATTCACTTTATGTATGCCCCAAGCGTCTTGATAACAATAACTCCCGGAAACAAAAAAATGTATAGACATTCGGGACGAGTTCCCGCTAAGTCTTAACTCTTAACTAAGGGATGCCGTGATATATAGATAAAGGCACCAGTTGCCTAAGTAAGTCCTGTGGTTCTGTATTATAAAGGAAAATAATAATAATAGTGTTACTCGTGTAACTTATATTGTTGTCAACAGATATCGTTAATTATCGAGAGCTTATGATTTGCGTTATCAGATAAAAGTTATTCTATGAATTGATTGCGGCATTATTACGCGATAAATATACTTAAATAATATAAAACAATTTTTTGATTTCTTGGCATTGGCATAAGGTAAAAACTTCTCATATACAAATTTAATTAAACAGAAAACTAATACTAAATAAAATAACAACTGCTTCGTAGATTATGATGGCGATATATTAAATTAAAATTACGACTTTTGAGTAAGAGTTGACGAGTAAGAATTGATGTTTATATAACGAGCGAACCAACGTTCTCCTGTACTCACATGTAAAATACAAAAAAATACATCTAATTGTAAATCTAAATTCTCGAATCCACTAGAACACATACAAATTTCTTCAAAAGCCAGTTCCAGTTAGGAGTAGTTTAATTAAAAACACACGCTTAGAAGATATATTCAGTGTTAACTCTTTATAACGAATTTTAAGGGACTGAGCATTTTATTTCGTTATAGAGATGTTTTAGTTGTAACAAATAACGTTATAAAGACTTTACACTGTACATTTAAAAAGATGTAAGGATATCGTTGGAAGGAAGCGAAATTTTTAATTTACTGAAATGTAACTAAACAACACAAACTATTTCGGATTAAACCGTATACTTTAACAAATCTATTATTTTTGATCACAAATTAATAATATTGATTATAATCAATTATAAAGATTTATTTAATACTTTAATTAATATTGTATTAATTGTAATGATATAGACCACTCTTGCCAAAAATCCCTTGTAACAAGTAACAAATTCGCGCTTCTAAAGACTTAATATTGAAATACCCTTAATCCTGATTCAGTATAAATTAAATTGTCAACATCCTAAAATGAGTCGTGTAACGGAGTTTGCAGCCTTATGCAACTTCAAATATTCTTTTCAACTTTCACAGTACTCAAAATTAGGTTTTCGTACCAGTTTGCAACATCAGCGCTACGGGTATTAAAAGTACTACATCGTACTTGTGCTTCGTTGTAGTTGACGTCATCAGGGTTCGAAAGGAGTGCTAATGCCATATGAAGAATTGAAATCGGTATTGGTTTTACATAGTAGCGGGCGGTCCACCGTGTAATATTTATTAAATATGACTTCATCAATGAGCATTATCAAACCAATACTAGTTTTAACAGCTGTTTAATTATCTAAGGGTTTTGACAATACAATTAATTTCAATAATGTTTCATTAATCACTACAAGGCAACGATGAAATGTATTATGCTATAAAAAACATAATTTGGTTACAATTATAAAATTTATGTAATTTAAATAGTTTTTGTTTAATTATAGCTAGGTCTTTTCAGCAGAGTTAGCGATATTAAGTACTTATAATATTTTTTTATGTTATGTTTGGACGGTGCCAGCGATTTAGCTGCGCCGGCGCCGCCCTTTAGTGTTTTCGCGCGTTGCGAAGTAAAGACGTGACGTCTAATTACATAATTAAATTTTTATTGGCACATGCTAGTATTTTTTTGGAATATACATTATACTTACTATGTTGGTTTATGTGAAGTGTCCTTGACACTGCTTTAAGTTATTTTTTTTCTATTTGTTTTTTTGTATTAATTGTATTTCTTTTTAACTTTTTAGGAATTTAGATTTGTACTGTGGTGTAGCCTTTCAGGCACCAAAATTTACCCCTAATAGGTTTTTTGATATTTCCTCTACTTTTAGTTTCTATATATCAAGCAATAATAAATAAAAAAAAAGTAAAAAAATTCAATGGTCTCCTTCATATTTCAATAAAGAATTCATGAACATCTGTTCAGTAGTTTCAGCATAGGGTAATCATATCGCACTTGCTAAGATATGCTTAATTTACGATTCGTAAAATTTCAATAAGCAGACACTTACTTCGCCAAACATATTGAGGATTCCGATGATAGATATCAGCATGGCTGACTCTGACGCGTTGAAGCCCATGCTTTGCCCGTTATCCGCCATATACACGTACGGCACATCATACCACATGTATAGAAGAAAATTGGAAATCGCAAATACAAGGAACGCCGGGTTCAGGAAGTGAGAGAAGTCCAGGACGTCCACAACGAGGTCCCAAAAGTCCCAGAGACCAGCGTACCACTGCAGCTGAAAAGTGAGGATGATAGATTGAGAAGAAAGATCTAGGGAACCGGCAATAATAAGCAAATAATGAAACACTAACATCATATCAAACCTAGCCGTAATTAATAGTAAGATTGGATCTTTAAAAACAAAACTATGAGCCATTACGTTTTTAACTTAAATTTTAACTGATCATAACTCAAAGATATGATCATAAATCAATTAAAATGATATGCCTGATGTCGGTGACATCGTCGTCAACTAAACTAACCTTTTCTTTAGCAATGGTGGTCATAGAATTTCTAAATATATTAGGACACGACGAAGCTCTTAGCCTATATCGGTTTATGTTAAGCATAGCGCCTCTATACGTTAAAGAGTGTCTGTGTATCCTCAAATCTTTCAAAAACGCTGGTGGTTTCTTTGTGGTACCAGCTCCCTGCCTTTTTAACCATAACGATAAAGCTGCTTTATCATTTATAGGTGCTTGTGACGCATTTGTGGCTGTTACAGTAGTAGGAGACATTGGTCCCGGTGAGGTACAACCAGGCGACAAAATCGCTTTATGCGGATATTGTTCGTTAAGACGACCGCTGTCACTAAAACTTCTAGACGGCAACATCACGCCTGGGTAATTCTGGGCTAAAACCGCGTAAGCTCTGCCGCGGTTTGACATCATTTCAAATATTTCCAAGGAAACACCTTCATCGCCGGTCATAAAGGTGGGTAGATCAACCAGCGAACTAAATTGTGGTACAATCGTTGCTGTTACAGCTTCAATATCTGGATTATCTCCTATTTTGCCTGATCCTGCTGCGCTGCTTTTACTGTCAGACAAGCTATCTGCAGATGATTCGTAGCGTTTATTCCGTTTTCTTTCCCTTCGTCTCTTTCGTTCTTTTGCCCTCTCTTCGTTCATTGTTGCTGTCCACGGAAGATCTCGGAACAGCAATCCACATACTGCTATATTTAAGAAAAATCCGGCAAGTATGAGTGTTGTTCCCTGCCAACCATACTCATCGAGTAATATGTATGTTAATGGGGCAAATATAAAAGTACCAATCCCACTACCGCAGACTGATATACCGGTAGCTAAAGATCGTTTCTTTTCAAAATAGTATGCAACTATCACTACTGCCGCCACGTAACATAAACTCAATCCAAAGCCGGCCATAATACCAAAGGTCAAAAATAATGTTTCCATATTGTCTACAAATGCTGAGATTACAAATCCTATTGCTGCGAGAATAGATCCAAAAATGGTCATACGTCGACAACCATATCTATCCGTCAGAAAACTAGCAATGGGGCCGGATAATAGTGGCATCGCCATGAAAATCCCGCCGATCCATGCAGTTTTTCCCTTGCCCTCGCCAAAGTAGTCCAGAAAATATGGAAGGAAAACTCCGAAACTGAACGTAATGCCGTCAGCGATGAGATTAACCATGAATGAGGCAAACACGACGACCCATCCCCAGCCCCCATCTGGCGGACGCGCTTCTGTGATGGAGACGTCTTCATCATCGGAACTTGAGCTAGAAGATGAGCCGGTAAGAGACTCTGGCGCGGGCGGAGACTGCGTATCGAATTTGACATGGAGCAATCGTCCATTTTTTCGCGGCACTTCACTGACACTGAGCGGGTCGCGGAGCAAGGGCTCACCCTCGGGTATACAAGGCAACGGGCGCGGCGCGGGCCGCGGAGTCTCTGGGTCGTTTAAGGCCTCCGCGGGCGCAATGGCTGTGTCGATGGTTCCGCTGGATCCTCCTTGGATCGGCCTATGATTCTCGCGATCCGGCGACGGCGAGAGGCGTGCGCGGTCCATTCCGGCAACGCTCGGCGAAACTGCGCGCGCAACGTGTGCAGCGCGGGGTCAGCAGTCCGCCGGGCTTCCATGCGTATGTAACCACAGCGCCGTCGCGACCTCATGCTGCAAAAAAAAACAATCATGCGTAAATTTTTGGTTAAAGTAAAAAACTTGATTGTCCTATGCTTAAAGATTTGAAACACAAGTTCTTAAGAGCTAAAATAAAAAAAAAATAAAAAAAATATGTGTTACACTTTCACGAATTTTATCAGGAAAATAAACATAATAAAATGCGTTAAACCAACATGAAAAATTACAATAAATGACAGGCACAGCAAGATTAAACCATAAAACTTAACAATCTTGAAGTAAACAAATGGAGGCGGTAAATTATCTACGTAACTGAAATATCGTTATAAAATTTTACCGTGAATATCGTAGCCCGTGATTTATTGCTTAAAACTTGGATTTATCCGCAACTCAACTTTGTGTATAATCTTAAACGACCTTCATACAAGGGCGCGAAGTATTAATGCGCAGTTTTACCAAATATATGTACATAATTATACGCTACAGTTCCCATGTGGAGTTATAGTAAAACAAATGACAAAAACACATTGGATTTTCTTCGACATTGTTATTCCTCTTGCTATCTTAATCTGCATAAGACATATGTCTGCGTCCCTGGTGGTTATGGGCGTAACTTCCAAATGTTTAATAAGAAAATTATCGTTTAATACTTGTCAAAAATTGTAGGTAGTCTGTAGACATTACACAGTCCGCAGGCTCATTCGATTTGAAATGATCACGGTCTATGGAAACACATCTATCATTTTCAGTTGCCCTGCGTGTGCGATACTGGCCTTGATCATACGATCTTAAATTGTATTGGTACGGATATACTAACACTTTATTTTTTACAACCCTGTAAAACTATAGTAGTTTTATTGCAGGAGTCATAATTTCAAGAAAAAACGTCAAATAATATATTTACTTTGTATCTTCCCTACCTTGTATGACTGATTTCGCTAAATGTTTATACTTCAGAATTCAGATAAACGCATAAAAGCGACAAGAATTGTACATATTGTAAGAACGTTACTGTGAATATTTAGACCGTTTTGTATACATTTTTAATTGTACCTAAAAATATTTTCAACTGCAATCACAACTATTTCTCGGTCAAGGGCAGCTGTTCTTCATGACTTGAATCGAAATAAATTCGTGTCGTTTAAATGGGTCAATGAGTTAATATAACACCTTATTGTTGAAAACAATGAATAGGTAAATTAGTACAAAATAAAGTCCCAGAAATGAGTTCGTAGAGTTATAAAAAAATTGTATCAGAACATTCCCAAACTTATGACATACATATATGTATAACAAATTATTAGCGACGCTAAGCTTGTATGAAATAAGAAAACTCCAGAAACATCAAAGACGTAAATTGCATAATTTAATTTAACCTTCATGTCTGCCAAAATTATCGAATATTCCGTATAGGACTGGAAAAGAGACATGTGGTCTGACGTCGAGCTGGCTCTTCTCCAAGCCTATGTTTACGTCAAATTCTATAAATAATTCCTAATGTTTGGCAACAAACATCTACCGATAGACGCGGGAACAGATGAGCAAAGGTTGATAAACTTTTACAGCCTGCCCTGCGATTCTGTAACTCACTTTTCGAACTCACACAGTGGTTTTCAACGCGCGCGACCGCCGCTGTGTAAACCGCTTTTCTATGTCTAAAAGTTATGTCAATAAAAGACAATACTATCTTTGGATTTATCAATTTTTTTTTTATCTTGACACGTCATCACAGACCTTCGTTTAAAGTAACGAAATAATTCACGATAATCAATTTTCGGATAGCGATTATATTCCAAATAAAATATTATTAATAATAATTCACATTCTATTCATAACTCTGCTCATAGTCCATTGAAATGTTAAATGGGCTGAACATTTGATAGAGGACGCAATTTTATTTATGGGACATGTAGGGGGGGTCAATACAAGGTTAAACCCAAGTTTGTGGGGTTGGCACCCTTGCCCCCGACCGCCATCTTGGAAAAAGGGGTGAAAACACGTTTTTGGTTACATCTCCTAAACTATCCATCGTACAAAAAATTTGTTACGACATATTTTGTAGCAAATCGCTTTGCCTACAATTATGTTTATGTGACTTTTTATCAAAAATCCAAAACTCAAAAAGATACAGGTAAAAAAGTGAAAAAAATCCAATTTTGCTTAATAACTTTTTTCGTTTGATTTCATAAAAAAATTATGTCAGAACAATTTTGTAGAGGATTTCTTTCTGAAGATGTTCCTCTATAAACATTTTTTTTATTTCCTTAATTGGAAACGCTGTAACAGCGTTTCCAAAGTTGACCGGGTTCGTCAATGCTCATGACAAGCAGGTCAAAACAACATTTTTACTTTACTTTTATGACAACTCGTTTATTTTAAACAAAGATTGAGTTTGGCCCTAAAATTTTAACATTTCAATGGACTATCATTCTAAACAGATATTTATTCCTTTTCATATTCGAATTTTGAAATTAAACTTTTAGCGAATGAATATTTTACAATTACTTATACAGGCACATTCAGGATGGTTCATTTATTTCAAGTATCTCTCTCATCTATTACCAACTAGATAACGTGGCAGTAAACTCGTCTTTCCCAAACGCTACTACCTTAAATTTCACACTTCGTAACATACAATTCTACCAATAGAGTAGACCAACGTGGGAGGTAACGGCGGACCCTCTCAACCACAGTCGCGTGTCATTGTTTAAACGCGTATTATCCATTTAACACACCATTCATCCAATCATACAGTTAAACGAATCACTCAGATCACTAGTCTAACAAGATAAAGCTTTATCTATAAGTTCAGGTGAAGCCGTATTTAATACTAGATGCTGCACGCCATCTCGTCGAGTTAAATTTAGATATGTACAATGTACATACAACGATATATCATTTACTCGACTACTACATAATATTTAAATAAAGCTATAAATGCGATGCCTTTATAAGATACGAGTATTTCCAACATTGTTGCAGTATTTTAAACATAGAACCTTATAAATTCAAAATAATAATAATAAGATACCTTTTCTTTAAAAAAAAGGAAAAGCGTGACTCACTCCAGGCACTCAGCTATTAAGACACGGGTGAGCTATACCCACTAAAACCACCTTGGGTAATTTTAACACGACCGCATCAAAGAGGCCCCCGGAGTCGAAAGTATAATTAGTTACCTTTATTAGATATTTGATGAATTTATGAAGTAACTTAATGAGCTTATTACGATAAAAATTTATTTTAAAATCAACTTGCAATTTTACTCACTATTATACGGGTTACCTATATTAACTGTTGACTTTAAATTAAGAAATACACGCGCCTTATTTCCTATGTAAAAAGGGAACTTAATTTTAATAACGTAACAACCTTTCAATCAGTGATTGAACCAAGATGATACAGTTTTATTATAATTTAAGCCTAATACTGTCATGTTAATACAAAACTACGAGCTCCGTACGACCCCTAGGGAAATCAACACCATTTCATAGGAGCTTAGAGAAATACATGTACAAAATTCTCTCAGTAACTGGCTTATTTTACACACGATGAAAAACCCTTATTAATGGGTTTTTTATCGTAATAATAATATAAACTATGTTTTATGAGAGTAAGTGCTGACGACGTTGCTCTATGAAAAATATATTAACATCTACCAAACAAAAATACTAATTGGTTTGTCAAAAATCAAGCCCAGAAGAAAAGTGAACTACGCAGGTCTTAGAGTTAGCTGTCCCAAAATGTTTAGCAGATATTTATCTCTTCTTGCCAGAGAGATAGCAAGAAGAGATAAATATCTGCTATAATTTTTAAGGTATAATCTAATATATAAAATTCTCGTGTCGCGGTGTTTGTAGTTGAACTCCTCCGAAACGGCTTGACCGATTCTCATGAAATTTTGTGTGCATATTGATTATGTCTGAGAATAGGACAACATCTATTTTTCATCCCCCTAAATTCTAAGGGTAGTCCAACCCTAAATTATTTTCATTTTATATTATAAATTTTTATTTTTTTATGATACAGAATTAAAAAAAAAAATTAATTAAATGGGTGTCTATGGGCTGCGTGGACTGCCTTTTTGGTCGTCCCGCAAGCTCGTTTGCCCCCCTATTATATAAGAAAAAAAAAATACATACAACCCCTAATTTTCACCCCTCTAAGATCAATTCGTATTTTTTATTATAAATGATATATATGGCAAAACGACGTTTGCCGGGTCAGCTAGTTATTACTAGCTACTTTAGCTAGTTATACTATTATTATATTTAATAAAAATTAAAAATCGTTTAATACTGTTAAATGAAAAATCTCTATGTGAAATTAAGTGATCTTGATAAGTTTCCCTACATATTTTACCATTTGCACCGAGAATTTAGCACCAAAGCAATTCCTTTACGAGCCACAAAGAAAAATACTCCTGAATTTTCTCGGAAAATGTGTTCGAAGTGAAATTAAGCTGTACTAGAACAGGCATAAAGTTTACGATCCGGAAAAAGGCTTTCGGGTCGCTGGCTTCATGCCAGTTTCACTAGCCTTAGTATTTTCATGCGACGCAACAGGGTTAGATTTACTGAAAAATCTTAGTATGACATTTATCTGACATACTCTTAAACTTGGCACTTTCGATTAGTATAACAATAATGTAATGTTTTACTCAAAGCCTACAAATATTCTTTTATGTATGAAACTTCATATCCCTGATGTACACAAAAAAGTATATACTTGATAGTAGGTGTACCACAAATAACGGTTCGGTGGCCGTCGATACACAATTTTATATTAAAATAATAAGTCCTGGGACATACCTCATCTCGATATATCCTTAACAAGAAGAAAGGCAGTTTGGGAACAATAAGAGAGGTTAGACTGATAACCTACTACCTTGCCTCACAAAAATCACAAAACGCACAAAACACTCACTT